GGTCTTTTATTTAGTTTATGTTATATCTTTAATTGAGCACAATGAGAGTCAACAAAAGTATTGTAATGTTTCCACAGTGAGGCCCACTGCACACAGAGGAATCACCAAACACTAGATCATCAATAGTTGATTTCTCGGATCTAGATGAAAAAAAAACACAGTTTCAGGGAAGAATTATCGCTTAAAGCTGGCTGAAAAACATTCAATATGTAATAAAAACTAGTTCCTCATGCCTCATGGTTTAGAGCTGGGTGTCTTTCAGAGCCGGCCCATACGATGCGCTTCTTGATATGCATGAAAAGATTTCGAAACGGGGGACTTTCGATTCAATACAATTCAAAATTATCTAAGTATGAACAATATAATTCGGTTCAGTAAAGAAAATGAAGTCTTTTGTTCCCTCACATAACACTCCGCTACAGCGCAAATGTTCAGGTATTAGGAATACTGCAACAATTTCCATGCGATTAAAAAGAAAGTAATCAGGCTTTAAATACAGTATATAAATCTTATGATATGTGGAAGAACTCACTCCTCCCGCTTTTATGCTCTTTATTCTCAGTTTCCCTAAATCACATTGTTCAGCTATAATTCATTTCACTTCAAAAGTCAATATTAGTATAATAATAGATAATGAAGATGGCTGACAGGACGCTCACACACACGCCTGGAGCTCCCAAGGTTCGAATAAAACCTGAGATTTACCGAACCATTGATGGTAAAATCATTGTTGAAGATGAATTTCTACACTTCCTCTATATTAAGCTCAAGACGTTAAGTCAGGATGAAATTGTCCTGCTTGCTGTCGACACATTTGATTCTGAGTGGATAGAAACATCCAAAAGGACACTGTTTGAGCTGTGCGCTACTACGCAGCGTAATGTTTCCCATAAAGGAATACATAAAGATGCGAACAACGTTAAAGCATGCCTCAAAGTGTTGAATGAATGTGGAGACTAAATCCCAAGATTTGTGTCTCATTACTTGGATGAACTGCCTCCGATTACTTTCAATAGTATAGATGTGTGCGGCTTGCTGCGCAAAATGGAGCACATCCACGGCGAAATATCTGCCATGCAGCATGCACTGAACCTGCAAGCCGACTCAAGTGAAAGCCTCCGTGCTATTACTTTGAATGTGAGCAACCGGGTGTGCGCCCTGGAATTACGCGCGGGCCATGGTGAGGGTGCAGGCCTGCCCTCAGTGCCGAAGCAACCGGGCGTAGTGGAGGATACAAACTCCAACATCGAGGCTGCGGATTACAACAGTGCTGAGAGGCTGTCAGTGCCTAACGAGGAAAGACCAGCACCAGCGGATAACAGCGCGGAAACAACGCACGTTCCACTTGGATCTCCGAAATGGAGTACAGTTGTGAAGCTGGGCCAACGTCAGCAAAGGGAGCCTGCTGCTGCTAAGTCTGCGTCCCGCAGCAGGCTACTACTATCCGGGGCTGGGCAGAGGAAAAGTGGGAAGACCGTGGTGGGCACTGGAGCAGCCGGGAACATAAAAATGATCAATACTAAGTTGGTGAGTGTCTTTGCTTCAAAATTCTCGCCAGACTTAGAAGCGGAAACTTTACGCACGTATCTCAGAGATAGACTTGGGCATGAAGTGACGTGCAACAGAATTGTTACCACAAACGACAGATAGGCGTCGTTCAAAGTAACTGCCAAATGCAAAGAAGTAGATGACATGTATGACCCCGAGCTGTGGCCCGAGGGATCATTTGTTAGGCGTTATTATGAGCCGCGTAAAGGTGCCACTGGTGCCAAGGCTGCTGCTGTCATTTCTGGAGCTATGTGCGCGCCGAGTGCTAACGCGAGTTCTCATTAAACCACCATGGAAATCAAAGTCCTATCATACAACTGTCGTGGCCTGCGTCTGGGCCAGAGCGCGGATGATAAAGCTCGCCGTTTTGTTGTCGATCAGTTGTTGGATGACTATTGTGACATTTTGTGCTTACAAGAAACGTTCCTTGCAAAGCAGGATTTGAAAGGGATTAACGCCATCAATGAGAGATTCCTTGGTACAGGCGAGTCTACTACTGACCTCAGCCTAGGGGTCAGAAGAGGAAGAATAGCAGGGGGCGTGGCTATTCTGTGGAAAAAGAGTCTAGACTCAGTTGTAAACGTGATCAGGCTCAATGCGGACTGGTGCATCGCAATTAGACTGTCACAGCACAACAAGGATATTGTGATATTAAATGTATATGCTCCTTATGAATGTATTCAGAATGAAGAGGAGTACCTAAGTAAGCTTGCTTTTATTAGTGCCTTTGTGCAAAATGAAAAGTCCTCCAGTGTTTATGTCATTGGTGATTTAAATGCAAATATCTTAGATAAGATATGTTTTTGTGAGCCACTTAAACATGTTCTGTGCAGATAATCATCTTACACTGTCCAGTAGGGAGCTCCTGCCGGAACAAAGCTACACCTATATAAGTGAAGCCTGGCACACTGTGTCGTGGCTGGACCACTGCATCACTACAGAGGATGCTCATGCTGCTCTGTCGGCCATGAGCATCTTGTATGAAATGTCCAGTCCAGATCATATCCCTGTATCAATGGTCATCAGATTTGGCATAATACCCACCATGCAGGAAGTTAAACATATTGAAAGTAAACACCTGGACTGGTCTGCTCTCTCTTCAGAAGAGCTTGCCTGTTATTGTGCTCACACTGACATGTTGCTAAATAATATTGCGCTGCCAAAAGGAACAGTTATGTGCTCTGATTACAATTGTACAGATGCTGGTCACAGGACATCTATTTCTGTTCTGTACTCCGACATTTCTTCTGCATTAATTGAATCTAGTGCGCCTTTTTGTAAATACAGAAAGAAAGGCCAAATAAGACCTGGTTGGAACTCTCATGTGGCTACTTCCCATGCTGAAGCCCGTGACGCTTGTAAGGCCTGGGCGACTGCAGGAAAACCCAGACAGGGACCTTTGTTTGAGCATAAAAAACGTACAAATGCACAATATAAGTACGCCATTCGATTCCTATGTAAAAATGAGGAAACAATACGGGCTGACTCCATGGCCAATAAGCTTTTAAATAATGACACCAAGGCCTTCTGGAAGCAGGTTAAGGTATAAATAATAGCAAACCCTGTCTACCTCACACTGTAGATGGAGTCACTGGGTCCCACTCTATTGTAGAACTGTGGAGAAAACATTATTTTAAACTGTTTAACTGTGTCTCAAGTGAACCGTACACTGTCAACAATGTTGACTTTGTGGATTCAATTAAAGTGCATGAGGTACAACAAGCTATTAATATGCTATCAAATAATAAATCCACAGGAATGGATCATATATGTGCTGAGCATCTTAAATATGCTAGTATGAGGTTGGCCCCTCTTCTGGCCATATGCTTCTCTACCTTTGTTGTACATGGTTTTATCCCAGACTCAATGATGTCTGTGTTATTGGTTCCTGTGATAAAAGACAAAACGGGGAAAGTGGGCAACTCTGATAATTACAGACCAATCGCCCTGGCAAATATACTGTCAAAAACATTTGAGCAAATCCTTGTGAGCAGACTCAGTGTTTACATTGGCTCCACGGACAATCAATTTGGCTTCAAAGCCCATCATGGCACTGACATGTGTATTTATGCTTTAAAAGAATTGTTAAGTAAATATAAGTGTAGACAATCCACTGTTTTTATGTGTTTTTTAGATGCCTCCAAGGCTTTTGATCGTGTTAACCATGCCAAATTGTTTCACAAACTATGTCAAGCCAATGTTCCTAAATATGTAGTTCGTTGCCTGTCTTACTGGTATGCCCATCAGACTCTGGAGGTCAAATGGGATAACTGTATCTGCACCCTTTCAGGTCAGCAATGGTGTGAGACAAGGGAGTTTGTTGTCTCCAATTTTATTTAATTTTTATATGAATGACCTTTCTAAAGAATTAAACTGGTGTAGAACAGGGTGTGTCGCTGGGGATAACATCGTCAACCACTTGATGTACGCTGATGACCTGGTGATTTTCAGTCCGAGTTCAGCTGGTCTCCAGCAGCTGCTTGATGTGTGTTCGGCGTACGGTGAACAAAACAATATTAAATATAATGAAAGGAAAAGTGTCATAATGACCTGTCGAACCAAAGAGGACCAAGCCCTGGTGTTTCCTGACTTTAAGCTCTCTGGAAACATCCTAAAAACTGAAAGCACGGTGAAATATCTTGGTCATATCCTGACAGATCGTCTGTCAGACGATGAGGATATGTATCGACAGTGCCGTATGCTGTACGCCCAGGCTAATATTTTGTTGCGTAAATTTGGACACTGTTCTAATGCAGTAAAAGTGGCTTTGTTTCGGGCATACTGCACCCCGCTTTACACCGCTCATCTGTGGGTGAACTATAAAAAGTCCAGCCTACAGAGACTGAAAGTGGCCTACAACGATGCCTTCAGACTGTTGCTAAAAAGGCCCAGATGGAGCAGCGCTTCTGAACTTTTTGTGTCCTGTCAAGTGAACTCACTGCAGGCCAACTTGAGGAACCTAATGTACAAGTTTATGTGTCGCCTGGACAATAGTGCAAATATGATGATTTTAGTGTTGACGAGTAGAGCATACAGTGATGTTCGTTATACCTCTGCACTGTGGAAACACTGGTATAGATGCCTCCTCTAAAGAGATTTGGGGACTTTTAATTGTTTTATGTTGTCTGTTTTCTAGTGTGTTGTGTTTTGTCTATTTTTTGTGTTTTGGACTACGAGTCTGTAATAAAAGCTATCTATCTATCTATTAGTAGTTTTCCTGACAGGCCTTGTGGCAAGAAATCCTTTAACTTATAAATTAAACATTTTAAACATTGTGATCTGACTAATGAGAGATGTACTGTGCAATGCAAAGAGATCGAGATGAATATTTCAAACAAAAGAGTCTGGGCCTCATTTATCATAGTATGTGATTTAAAAGGAAAACTACTTTTAACCACATGAAACTTGTGTTTCATGTATTTTGTTTGGAGAGAGCCAGATGATGCATGACATTAGTTGCAGAAATCCTGGTCCTGAGGAAAGCAGACACACACCTCCCGCAGCTGCAGCATTTCTGTGTCCCGCTGCTCCAGGAGCCCCTCCAGCTGGTGGATGGTCATCTCTGCGTCTGCCAGACGTCTGGTCCGCTCGTGGTCCTCCTCTGTCTGCCGTGCAGACAGCCCTTTACTCTGTAGCATTTCCAGCAGCTTCTTTATCGACTCATCCCTGAAACAAGAACAAGTCTGACTGAGACCCAGACTGAGCCTGAGATATAGCCTGAAATAATTTTTTTCATAGAAATATCAGTCATTTGATCATCAATTCAATGTTGTTACATTTGTTTTAAATGAACCTAATTACAAAAAACAAAGCAATAAAGGGGAATCTTAATAGGTAATAGTTACAGTGCCTTGCGAAAGTATTCGGCCCCCTTGAACCGTTCAACATTTTGCCACATTTCAGGCTTTAAACATAAAGATATAAAATTTAATTTTTTTGTCATGAATCAACAACAAGTGGGACACAATCATGTGGAACGAAATGTATTGGATAATTTAAACTTTTTAACAAATAAAAAACTGAAAAGTGGGGCGTGCAATATTATTCGGCCCCTTCACTTTCAGTGCAGCAAACTCACTCCAGAAGTTCAGTGAGGATCTTTGAATGATCCAATGTTGTCCTAAATGACTGATGATGATAAATAGAATGCACCTGTGTGTAATCAAGTCTCCGTATAAATGCACCTGCTCTTTGATAGTCTCAGGGTTCTGTTTAAAGCGCAGAGAGAACCATGAAGACAAAGAAACACATCAGGCAGGTCCGAGATACTGTTGTGGAGAAGTTTAAAGCCAGATTTGGATACAAAAAGATTTCCCAAGCTTTAAACATCTCAAGGAGCACTGTGCAAGCAATTATATTGAAATGGAAGGAGTATCAGACCACTGCAAATCTACCAAGACTCGGCCGTCCCTCCAAACTTTCATCTCAAACAAGGAGAAGACTGATCAGAGAGGCAGCCAAGAGGCCCATGATCGCTCTGGATGAACTGCAGATAACTACAGCTGAGGTGGGAGAGTCTGTCCATAGGACAACAATCAGTCGTGCACTGCACAAATCTGGCCTTTATGGAAGAGTGGCAAGAAGAAAGCCATTTCTCAAAGATATCCATAAAAAGTCTCGTTTAAAGTTTGCCACAAGCCACCTGGGAGACACACCAAACATGTGGAAGAAGGTGCTCTGGTTAGATGAAACCAAAATCAAACTTTTTGGCCACAATGCAAAACGATATGTTTGGCGTAAAAGCAACACAGCTCATCACCCTGAACACACCATCCCCACTGTCAAACATGGTGGTGGCAGCATCATGGTTTGGGCCTGCTTTTCTTCAGCAGGGACAGGGAAGATGGCTAAAAATGATGGGAAGATGGATGGAGCCAAATACAGGACCATTCTGGAAGAAAACCTGTTGGAGTCTGCAAAAGACCTGAGACTGGGACGGAGATTTATCTTCCAACAGGACAATGATCCAAAACATAAAGCCCAATCTACAATGGAATGGTTCACAAATAGACGTATCCAGGTGTTGGAATGGCCAAGTCAAAGTCTAGACCTGAATCCAATCGAGAATTTGTGGAAAGAGCTGAAGACTGCTGTTCACAAACGCTCTCCATCCAACCTCACTGAGCTCGAGCTGTTTTGCAAGGAAGAATGGGCAAGAATTCCAGTCTCTCAATGTGCAAAACTGATAGAGACATACCCCAAGCGACTTGCAGCTGTAATTGCAGCAAAAGGTGGCGCTACAAAGTATTAGCGCAAGGGGGCCGAATAATATTGCACGCCCCACTTTTCAGTTTTTTATTTGTTAAAAAAGTTTAAATTATCCAATAAATTTCGTTCCACTTCACGATTGTGTCCCACTTGTTGTTGATTGACAAAAAAATAAATTTTTATATCTTTATGTTTGAAGCCAGAAATGTAGCGAAATGTTGAAAGGTTCAAGGGGGCCAAATACTTTCGCAAGGCACTGTATCTATGTAGATGTTCTTATTGGCAATTTCTTAAGAATACATGCGTATAATTAGAGTGCAATAAAAGGCCCAAAACAACAAGTTTCATTGATTAATTTCTACAGAACTTCTGAAGTTATAGAGGGAAAAAGGTGGGCACGGTAAGGGATAAAGAGAGATAATTTCAGAAAATAAAGAAAATAAAGGGGACCTAAAGATCAACTTGCAGTTGTTTTCCCTTGTCATTCACAGAAAGCTTTTAGTATGATTCATTGGTGTTTAGTGAAGCTTTTTCAAAATAAATATAATATTGAGTAAAAGGAGATAGAAGGAGGAGCTACACAACTCAATTCTTCTAACCCAGTGTCTCCCAAAGTGGGGTCCGCGGCCCCCTGGTGGGCCGCGAGGGTACTGCAGGGGGGCCGCGGGAGGTCATAAAAAAAAAAAATAATATAATTATTTAATGTTAAATTTATAATGTTTTGTTTGTAATATTAAAATATTTGTGTTCATTATTTGACTTGAATAATCCACTGTAATCATTTTTGTATTACAATGTTTGTAGCAGAGGCTATTTCCCCAAAATAAAATAACCAGAAGAGCCTAGTTATTATTTTGGGGGGCCACGCAGACCCGTCAGATTTTTAAGGGGGCCTCGGTGTTACTGAGTTTGGGAATGGCTGTTCTAACCCTAACCCTGTAACATTATTTAAAGCTGGACTAACTCACTTTGTGACTTTGAAGCAGCAGTTTGAAATGTAAGCGCTGCCCTCGCTCATTCTACTCCCCTCCCCGCACTCACAAAGCTTTTGCCCCCCACACTACCCCCTCCCACTCAAGCGCGTGCTGGTGTGCAAAGACTTGTGTGCTATTGTTTATGGAGCTGGATCATGGATCTATAATAATATGTGGATACGCTTCTTGTTTTGGCCCAAAAACAAATTGTTGTTCCTCATTTGATTGCATGCCCCAGTGCTAAAGTAGTCTCAACCACTTGCAGCGTGTCTCTCTCCGTTCTTGTAGGGACTTTCTTTTGGATGGCCGTTTCGCTGTACAAGCAGTAACCAGTAACAAAGACACGGGAAGTTTCAGGTTAGCCTCCGCCATGATGCTTGTTTACCTCAGCTGTCTGTGCGCGCTAACAAGAAACCAAAATAAATTATCTTCCGCGTTGCGCAAAAACTCTATCTAAAACAAAATTACACTCCAGTATAAACCAGTACTACTTATTCTTCAGAGGAACATATATCCCAATACACTGCATTGATATGGATTGAATTTTTCTAATGAATACAAAAATAAAGTGAGGTAGTCCAGCTTTAAGCTCAATCTATTCCTTTTACATTAGTTTAAATGTCATTAAAATTACAATCACTCTTTTTATCCTGCCTGTGACACATGTAGCTCCAAAGCACTGATAACTATGCTTTCCACTAGATAGAAACAGTGAAGACTCTTAAAATGTGTGGTGCAAACCATTTGTTTGTGAATTTTGCTCTTAAAACTCAATTTAAAAGATGTGTATGGAGTGAATGAATAATGTTGTGAAGCATCTTTGAGTGTCCAAAATACGCAATATAAAAGTCATGCATTACTATCATTATTATTAAGGCCAGGTTGTGAAAATATTAAACCGGTCGTTGGCGCGTAAATGGTTGGTGGCCATTGTTATACAGAACATAATGCAGATATGCCCCCTTTAAACAGAAACAGAGCATCACCTGGCCGTCAGTGTGTGCTTCTGTGTGTCTATCCGCAGCTCCATCTCCTCCAGGGTTTTGCGGAGCAGGTAGAGTTCTTTGGCCTGCCGCTCATACTCGCCGTGCACCCGCATGAAGTTCTCCTTCGTCATCTCCTGAGGGAGGGGGTTACCGAGGCGACCGGGCTCTGAATAGTCCCCCTGGAAGAGCTGGTTGAGGTCGCGCTGGATTCGGAGCTCGTCTTGCAGGGCCTGGATGGTGCACTGGAGATGCTGTGGAGATAACAGAGAAAACACAAGCTTATTACAGATTAGAGAGATATTTAAGGTGGCTTGTGTTTGTGTTACCCCAGCAGAGAAGTAAGTCCAAATATGACCTATATAAACTAGAGCTTCTTGACAAATCACAGTGCATACAGCCTCCAATACAATGTGAATCACAATTCATGATCAAATAAAAATATTTTGATTTCTAAGAAGACAAACCATGCTTGTACCTGTTTCCTTGTTTATAACGGTCATAACTTCTCAGTCCAATATGAATTTGTATGGGCTGCTTTCTCAGAATTGGGATTAGCTGAGATCTATACCATCTTGACCCAAAAACCCTTCTTGATGATTATACATTTGTGTTCCTTCTCTGTAACAGGAGCTCTAAAGACAGCGGCTCAAAAGTCATGGTGGTCTCTAGTGCCAATTATATCCACAACCAACAGGTCAACAACATATGACTCATCGGACCAGTTCCCACATAGCTTCCTTCATTGAAGGAAAAAATTGCACCCCCTTCAATCGCCCAATCTACATGTATTACCGCATAGACAGGGCTCCATATTTGCACTTCAAAGCTCATTTAACATATGTATTCTTAAAACAAAACAGAGACAATATCTATGGTTGTCTTTTCCAATAATGGTTATCTCTAAAGAGTATCCTGAAATGTTTATGTACATTGGAGAAGAAGTCCCATTGCTTCCGGTCGGCATGTCATGGTGTGATTGTGTCAGAGTGGGTGAAAACTACTGCTGACTCACACAGTGGTTTAGACACAAGCTAACTTGTGTCCAAATAGCTGTAGGCTGCGGATGACATTTAAACACGGCCTTAAAGAAACACAAACGCAGTGTGTTGAAAAAAACACGTTTGGCTTCTTCTTAATTATAATCACTTGGAAACGTATTCAGATTCATGGACATTGGTCATCTTCCCCCTTGGACACTTCACTCACATTGCCTAGAATGAATCTGGTGTGTGTGTGAATGGTTGGTGGTGGTCGGAGGGGCCGATGGCACATACTGGTTGCCTCGCTTCTGTCCCAGGGCAGCTGTGGCTACAGTAGTAGTTTACCACTACCATGTATGGAGTGAATGAATAATGACATGTGAAGCATCTTTGAGCGTCCAAAAAAGCGCTATAAAACCGATGCATTATTTTTTTTATAAATATCATTATTATTTACACAAATGTATAATATACATATATATATATATATATATATATATCCATCCATCCATTTTCTTCACCTTAATCCATTTCTGGGTCGGGGGGGTGGCAGTCAGAGCTGCACCCAGTCCACTTAGCACCAGCCCATCACTGATCCTCCTGCAGGTGGTGAGTCCACAGGAGCTGAGATCTTTCAGTGGGAGCTTCAGGCAAAGTGGGGTTAAGTGTCTTGCCCAAGGACACAACGACAGCAGTCATCAGTGGGAGTCGTGAAGTAGGTCTTATGGTGGGCTTGAACCCACGACCTTCAGGCCCAAAGGCCAATGCTCTACCAACTGAGCTACTGTCGCCCCGTATATATATATATAATATATATATATATATATATAATATATATATATATATATATATATATATATATATATATATATATATATATATATATATATATATTATACATTATGTATACATTTAATTGAATTGAAACATAGTGTGGGATTCACTGGCATCATAGAGCAATGAAAAGAGAGCTGACTACACCCATAGAGCTCCATTTGCGGAAATCTGGAGCATTTCGGTTGTAACTGTATATACAAAATATTTTCATAAAAACGCTATTACACAGATTGCCCCGCCATAGAATACCAGTAGTGCTTCTGTTAAATTTGATACTTGAAAGGTTAGACATAAAGAATTCAGGGAGGCACAGCTGGAATGCAGAGCTGAGAAATGCCAGACCACAAGAGGAGCCAACACGGGAAGAAGGCTGACTAACAGAGGAAGCATCTCAGAAGAAACAACAACAGTGAGATAAGAAAATAAGGAGAAAAAAAAAAACTTCCAAAAGGGGCAGGTTGAGTCTACTTCTGATTGGGAGTGACGTATTGTAGAGCCCTGCACGGGCCTATTATCTGGCCCCGAGCCCGGCCCTGGCCCGAGGGGGTGGTGCCCCAGTCCGGCCCGGCCCGATATGGTTTCTGAATTTTCAGGCCCGAAACCTGCATCAAGCCCGACTTTTTTTTTTTTTTTTTTGTAACCTCCCATAACAATGTTTTAGCGTAGTATATAGTGCCGCGCACTGATATGAACACAGGCTTGGCTAGCGGGCGGAGTTATGCATTGTAGTGATGTGTTGCAATGAGTTCTGTGTGCGGAGTGGTGCAGAGTGAACGGCCGCATCTGTATGATGCCCAGATGCTGCAACACACCTGTAAGTAACGCTATGTGCCGTCAATGACAACACTACACAGAACAACAAACACTCCAGCGTGATAGAACGCTATATTCAGTGGGTGCGTTCGTAAATGTATTCTGCCGCTCTGAAAATGAAGAGCCAGAGCCCGGCCCGTGTCCGAGGTCATTATGCGGTCATCGGCACGAAGCCCGGCCCTCGGGCTGTCGGGCCGTCGGGGCCCTCGGGCCAAGGGCTCAGGTGCAGGGCTCTAACGTATTGAACTCAGGTGCATACAACAGGTAGCAGAAATGTTGCTAAAATATGTTTCACTTAAAGGAACAACACCTGATTTATTTTCAAATGAGTTCATAAAAATGCGTAACACTACTTACAATTTGTATTAAAATCCATATTTTAATTGAAAACGTATTGATTCAGCTTGTGTATGAATTCAGGCCGTAAAAAGTGCTGAGTATAAACTTTGCATGACGCTAGCTCTCCTCCAATCACAGAACGACCTCCTCAGCCTCCTCTAGAGTCTGCAGCGCAGGTAAACGCAGCAGCATGGCGACAGAAAATGGCTATACCTCCTCTGGCTGTAACTGCATACACAGCAACACAGCCCAAACAACGCAGAAGTGAAGAGGAGAAGAGGGAACTAAAGCAAAAAAAGGATCAAAGTAGAAATCAAGCCCAGGGGTGAACATAGCTAGCTTACATCGTATCCTCTGGAGAGAGCTGCGGGAGGGGGACACCTTGGACTAGCGGTAATCTTTCAATTACATATTTTGTTAGCAGTGCGTTGCTTTTGTACCATTTCATCTGTGATTGTTGTACAGCTTACTAGAAGTTGCACTAATGCTAATGTTTGCATATGTATCAGATCCATGGATCTATAATAATAACAACTGGATAGGGTATTACTAGCTTATAGCTGTCCCACCTATAGTGTCCCAGCTGGCGCCCATGGTACTGCGGTCTAAATTCACAAAGGCTACCCAAAAAAATGTCCCATAGAACTCACTGTAAACTAAACCAGCTCGACCTCAGCTGACAGAGAACCTAGAGCTTTCACAAAAGGTCAGATTTTGTGGGGATTTTAGTGTCCCTTGTCATCCTGAACTCTTTTTAGTCTTAAATTCTTTGGTTTTCTTATTAGATACAGTAAAAGGATGATGTACCTCTAGCAGATGTTCAGTACAGTATTCAGAACACACAATAACTGTGGTCCTGTGTACCGCTCCTGCTGTGTGCTCCTTGTAGTATGTCACTGCAACAGATGTTGATTGCTTCGATATCATAGCGATGTATTCCATACCTACATATGTGTTCTGTGGATGGAGCTAATCTGTTTTTGATGAGAGAATAATGGTAAAGCGTGGGCGACAGTGGCTCAGTTGGTAGAGCATTGGCCTTTGGGCCTGAATGTCGCGGGTTCGAGCCCACTGTAGGACCTACTTCACGATTCCCACTGATGACTGCTGTCGTTGTGTCCTTGGGCAAGACACTTAACCCCACTTTGCCTGAAGCCCCTGCTGAAAGATCTCAGCTCCTGTGGACTCACCACCTGCAGGAGGATCAGTGAGGGGCTGGTGCTCTATGTACTGGGTGCAGCTCTGACTGCCACCCCTATGACCCAGAAATGGATTAAGGGGAAGACAATGGATGGATGGATAATGGTAAAGCAAGATGATTTTGCATAATATGTGTCCTTAATTCCATAACAAACAAAAGATTGCAAAAAAGTGTAATCCGAACAAAGAATAAAAATAAAATACACAGTATTTTGTGCATGAAAATATGCTCTCTCCACAAGGAAAGACCCAACACAGATATCATCCTTTGAGGCATCTACATTTCTGAATCAGTTTCAGTGAAAATCCAGAAACCTATGTTGATAGTTCTGAAATCTCAGTGACAATGTGTATGTGATCTTGTTCCCTTTGCCCCTGGCGGTTGTTTATCTGTCGCATGAACACTTAACGTCCAGTTGTTTCGAGCTGCTTCCGTGACTCATGCACAACAATGTCCAAACAATTTTCGACGCGCACTTGTAACGTATTGAGGCGGTCACGGTATTACCATGAATGTGATGACCGCCAGCAGTTTAAGAGCTGACGACTTAACTAGGTCTCCAGGGAATAATTGTGGTGTTCTGCAGGAGAGGACACATTGCGAAGAAGAGCGTGAAAGATGCACAAGAAAGACATTGCATATTTACATACTAGTGAATCACGCATGTGCAAGTCCAACAACGTGACCCAGATCCATCAAAGTGAATTCGAAAAGGCAGAAAAGGAAAACAGTGATTAGTTGACGATAACAATAGGAGTTATGCAGCACATGGATGAATTTAGCTCTAGCTCACAAAAGCTTGTTCTATAATGTGATTTCTGGTGGTTGGCATGGTCCAAAAGCAGTGCTTGGCTTGTTTACGAAAGCCGGCAGCTCGACTTCTCATTTCTCCAAAAGGTCATAATTCTAAATTCATTGCACAAGTATACTAGTTTTTTGTTCATTTGGGCAATTATTCTATCAGTTCACTCAACAGCCATTTAATCAAAAACGAAACTAAGCAAATACCATACCGCAGAGTAGGGTTGCCATGATTTCAATTTTTGAGTCTTTATATTGCGATTTTACAATTATTCACAATTATCAACATTATGAAAGACAATATAGATATTTCACAATTATAAAAACGTTCATATACAAATTTAATGCAGGATTTTATATAGCCTAAATTGTTTTGTAGTAGTAGTAGTAGTAGTAGCCATTGTCGTAGTTGTAGTCTAGGTGTTATGTCTGTATTTGTTTTGTTGACTAAGGGTACTTGCTACTGTGACTTTAAGGGCGGCTTCCGACACACGTGCAAATGTTTGTATTATTACTTTTGATATGCAGAAGCAGAGAAAACAGCCTTTGCATCAATGTGCACCCTGAGGAAGTTTTATGGCTTATTTATGAACATTGGACAACTTTACAGTTGTATTACCTTGACTAAGACATACACTAAAAGGATGATTATCTCAAAGATGTTGCTTCATGTTTAAAAAAGTGGTCCCCTTGGCTAAATTTCCGACGACGGGCTTCACACGTTGGAATTCCATCAGCGACACCACCACCTTACTCCTCTTTTGGATTCCCAAAGTGATCCCACACTGCTGACTTAAGTTGTAAATTCGGTGGATATAACTCTGCG